TCATGGGTTGAATCTGGAATGACATAAAATATACTTGAACAGTACAATTGTTAATAGTAACAGTTAAATAAGTTTTACAATGAATTTTAACAGAATTTCCACTTGCAGTAATAATATGGGTCTTATCCTTAGAATTTAAAGCAATTTCTTTTACATTTAAATGCTTAACTAAATCATGACTAATACAACAAAAATCAGACCAGAATCTAACAAGGCTGTAAATTAAGGTTACATATAATGACAGGTATAAAATTTCCTAATAAGTGAGCATTACTTTTAACTATAGCAATATTTGAAAAATTTCTAAGTCTGTTCTAACAATAGAGGACAGGGGATTGCTAGAACTTTCTAGTTTTCCGATTGTGAAACTGATTCATCCTCAAATAAACAATATTTTGCATAATGATTTGGACCATGACATTTGTGACATATGACTGGATCACATGTTGACTTATCATCTTTGGTAGTTGACTGTTTTAGGCTGTAGCACTTCTTTGCTGTATGACCTTTCTTGTTACAAAGTTGGCATATAACTGTCTTTTGTTGAACAGCAGCAAGGTTTGCTTCAAAATATTCTGTAGATGTGTCTTTATTTGTACTGGAACTGGAAGTAGGCTTAAGGCTTAGTTCTTCTACTTTCGATTTTAGTGAGTGAAGTTCAAACATAACATCTGACATATTTGTAGACTGTCTTTGTTGTGGGTGTGGCACCAATGAACATGACTGATCCACTAAGCGACAATAAGGAACAGCATCTAAAAATGTAGTTGGTTGTTTCTGTATAACGCTTGCACGTAAAGATGGAGTTAGTATGAAAGCTGAGATCATTTCTGTTTCTGTTTTATTGAGTCTAGTACATTTTGCTTCAATGTCAATAATATAGTTTTCAATATTTTCACCTGGTAGCATAACTCTTTCATACAGTTGTTGTTCTAATAACCAATTGTTAGGCCGTGAGTCTATGAAATGATACTTAAATTCATGAACTAATCTTGGTTTACTGTGGACTAATTGTGGAGGCAAATTATTCAACCATATAACAGCGGGTCCTTGAAGTTGAAGAAGCATTGCAGAACCAAAACTTTCGTCAGGGATTCGTTGAATATCTGTCCATGCTTGAAATCGTTGAAGCCAGGTGTGGGCGTCTTCTGATGGAAGTCCATAGAACGGTTCAATATTAAAATGTGGCATCTTACGGTTTTGACAGTGATTTTACTTCATTAAAATCTTGTAGAAATACACAGGATCAAACTGTTTACATCTCCACCATCTGTGGCGTATAATTCACCATCTGAGGCGAACAATATTACAGCCACCTCTTGACAAATTGGGATATTCGTCGATTTAAAAGAAAACGTGGTCATTTTTATGTAGACATTTTATTAATCTCCACAGGGGTAGCTACAATTGGGCAAATCACTGATTGGCTAATAAACTAAAACAATAATTGGGTTACTTCCCTTCAATACAATAACATTTTTAGACCACAATTAACCGATATGGATAGACCTATTCCATAATAGTGTTAATGAGCTAATAATTGAACGCGTTTTCAAGAACAAGGGCAATAACTATATTCTTCGATTCTTCATGTGGGCGTATAAATTTTGTTCACAAAGATATGTTGCAATGATAATAAAATCGTTTCTAAATTGTTTTTAATAAAAATAACATACTTAAGTTGTTTCTGATTTTTGACATTGTCCTGTAATGAAATAAAAACCTTTAAGCAAGAAAAACGATATATTTGTGGAGCAAAATAAGGTACAGTAATATGTGAGACGTAAAACACTTAGTAGGGTGTTTGTGAAAGATCAACTCATAATCGATTTTCACTATAGCTTTTGACATTATATGTTTTATGAAGGATTGTAGTTATTGAGGAGATGCAGCTTTATTCTCTTCAAGAAACTATACCTTGCAACAATACGAAATTATTTAAACAATATAACTGTTAGTTTTAGTTGTACCAATTGGTGGTTTCATTACTTTACTAGAATTACAACTATAAATACCGNCTTGATCTCAATACTGTTTATACCAGTTTATACTTGCATGGTCTGGCTTAGTCTGGATAGCGGAACAATTAATAACCAGTTTGTCTGATTTAATAATATCTATCCTGCTAGTAGATGCACCAATTCCAATTTCAATTATGTAGTAT